ATGACGGCCTCGGCCGGATACGCACCCGGCTCCGCCGCCCACTCGATGATGTCGAGCCAGATGGGCTTCTGGTCCGCCTTTGGCACCGGCGGCTTCCCCGACGAGCCATCATTGATGGAAGGTGAGCTGCTCCGCTGCCGTCGCCTGCCCGACTGGCTGGCTGGCCGTCTGATCCTGCCCGTTCCCGCAACGTATGCTCCTCCCTCGACCCATCGCTGACGCATACATACCGCCACACTCCCATCACACTGCCACTATCGCATTACCCTTCCCCCCTGCCCATCCCCCTTGCTCCCTACTCGCTCTCTCCCCACCTCCCCCTGCACCCCGCCCGTCGCCCCGCCATCAGAGCTGGGGATCAACATCGGCCACATCGTCGACAAGACGCTGACGGTGCTCAACCCATTACACCGCTACTCGTCGGCCCACGCAAAGGACGCGCACCTCATGGACGACGCCGACCTGGCGGGCCCGCTCCTCTTCTGCTTTATTTTCGGCATGACGCTCCTGCTGGCGGGCAAGTCGCAGTTCGGCTACATCTACGGCGTCGCCCTCCTCGGCGACGTGTCCATCTACCTCCTCCTCAACCTCATGGCCGAGGGCGGCATCGACGCCTACCGCGTCGCCTCGGTGCTCGGTTACTGCCTCCTCCCGCTCTGCTTCCTCAGCGCCGCCTCGGTCGTCGTCAGCCTCAAGTGGGTATTCTGTCGAGTCTCGTAGAGATCGGTTCGCGAGATGATGCAGGGGTAGCCGAGCAACAAGAGAAGAGCTAGACGCTGACTGTCCTCCTCCCTCTTCCGTTCGCCCTCGCCCCTCCCACCGTTCATCATCATCACATCCTCTCTCTGCCTCTACCCCTCCGTCCCTCACGCCACCACCACCACCACCACCACCATCTTTCCGCCCTTCCTTGCTCTCCATCGCCCAGCTCATTCGTGGGCTACGTCGTCTCGCCCCTCTTCATCCTCTGGTGCTCGACGTCGGCATCCGGCATCTTTGTCTCGATCCTCGGCCTCTCGGACCAGCGCCTCCTCGTCGCCTACCCCGTCTGCCTCTTTTACGCCTGCTTCGCCCTCCTCAGCGTCTTCGACGTCGGACGCTGACGGACACCAGCACCAGCACCAGCATCGGCGACGGCAATGGCGATGGCGGGCAAGGCGACCCACGAGGACCTACGGACGACGACCGACGACCATACATCTATCTCTTCCTTGTGCTTACTGGCTCCAATGCACGAACCACCGGCCGCATCAAGGGGGCACGGCAGCGGGGCTGGCGGGCTGGCCGGCCTGCACATCGACGCACCCGCC